ATATATATATATATATATATATATATATATATATATTTAAAAGCTCATATAAATTTATGATATACAAAATTGGTAGTTTTAATTATTAATTTAGTCTTGATTTCTTCTAGTTTTAATATTTGTTGTTTTTCAAGTGTCATTATATGTTAATCTTCTAGTTTTAATATTTGCTTCTTTTTTTTCAAGTTAAATCGATTCAATGCGATCTATTATATTAAATTAGCATTAATGTGATTTAGAATGTAATCATGTTTATGTTTAATAAGGTTTAATTATTAATTTGGTTTTTATGTTTTTTTTTAACTCTATTGAGTCTGATTAAATAGAGATTATGTGGTCCCTTTTGTGAAATCAGGATTAAAGATGATCACGGGTGAGTCTAAACTCTCTTCTTTCTTATCTCTTTTTCTTCAATCCTATTGAAATCACCTCTTTCAAATTCAAGATTGACTCCTTTAGATTCAATATCACATATCTAAGATCTTTGATTTTGTCTACTACATCGTCGAGATAGACACATGAAGTTAGTTGTGGCTTTTGGATTCATTCATTCATAATACCGGTTAAGAAGTAGACTTTAAGCCTAACTTGACCTCACAAAACTGGCTTTTAAGTTGAGGTTTGCACTCACTTATATATTATAAATTGACCTTATCTCTAGTCGATGTGAGACTTCCAACAAACCCTGTCACGCCAAGGTGTATACATATCGAGCGTGAAACTAGACATTAATGGTGGTCCGATAATGACCTGATAGTAGGTGAAACAACATGCCCAACAAACAACAAATATCGCTAGGATAGGCACTAACCATAGTTTTGATACCATGTTAAGAAGTGGACTATATAAGCCTAACTCAACCTCATAAAACCGGCTTTTAAGGTAAAGTTTACACACAATTGTATATTATAAATTGATTTTATCTCTAGTTGATATGAGATTTCCAACAATATCCATGGAGGATGCTAACCTAAAAGGGATCATATGTCTTCATGTAAAAAATACAAGACACAATTGAGTTAGAAAATTATATAAATACAAGTTTGAGGTAAGGAGACAAGTGATTACATTTACTACGCATTTAATATCCAAACTTTCAAACTCAAATTACTTTGGCATTCGAGCATAATGGAACGAGTGCATATATGCCCTCATTTAGCCTTTAATATTGGATTCTTAATTGATTTTTGTACTTTAACATAATATTTTAATTAGGATTTGTTATAATTGGGTTTATTTAGCATGAGATACAAAAACATGTTAAAAATAACTTTTTCAATTGCATAAATATTTTTCGGATATTTTGACTTGTGTTAGTGCAGCTGGAGCTAAGTTGAACTCATTGAGGTATGAAAATAAATTGGTTAAAGTTTCATGACACTCAACATCAGTTGGGTGATACAATGCTTAATTGTAGCATCTTTACATATCTGATAACCAAAAAAATACGTTTATTTACATTATTTCATCATGGAGCAAAGTTTAACCAAAAACTTAATAAAATAATGTCATTTGACAACATAATAATCCAAGGACATTGTAATTGTGTTTAGAAAAATGCCATGTGAATTTTACCTGGATGTAGATATAAACTCGAGGAATACTTCGGACATTCCTGTATGGTTTGATTGACATGATCTTTTAACATAAATCCGTGGTGAATCTCTCGGAAGTTTGGCAAATTTATGAGTCTTATAATTTTCAAGTTCTCTAATACTACTTGTTTTCCATCCTTATCCATTTCTTCTAAATCACCACCATCAGGTTCATGTTCAAAACCAAAAGCACTACAATATCGCAGAGGTTTTGAAGGCTTAGAAAACCTGTGGGACCTTTCCATATGAAATTGAGTTCAGGTATATTGGAAAGGGATAGAGACTTTATATCCAAGTTTAGTGGATGAAGTAATAAATCTTCCAATTGGTTGGATGTGTTGGTGATCGACCATAATATTTCATTCTCCTGTGTACACAACACAATTCACTGTTAATACTTTAAAGTTTATCACTCTACTCATCAGATTTTATTCATCAGTGGGTCTGAATACAACTCAAAACATAATTGATCAAATAGATAATAAATACTTGTTTATTGGAAGACATAAAAGATTATCCATGATTAATTTAATTTATAAATATATTTTCCAATTTCAAACATAATAAGAAAATAAATTATAATGTTGATCAGAAAATAAAAGTAAATGATAAAGAAAAACTACTACGATATGATTGTTATGCTTAATGCATTTAAACAATATCACTCGAGAAACTATACCGATTTATAATCACATATATTAATTTATGTTTAAAACTCACTATTTTAATCAAGTTAATGAAATAATAATAAGGCTTAATACCTCTTTTAGTCTCTCTTTATAAGGGAAATGTTCAAGTCCGTCCTACCTTTTTTAAAAAGTTCAATGTGGTCCCAACTTGTGAAAAAATTGTCCAATTAAATCCTTTTTGGTCACGGCGTTAAATATTTAACAATCCACACTAGTGGAAAAACAACTTTCTATAACAGACTTATTATAACGGATAAAAATTATCCATTATAATAGGTTGACCGGTGGCAGAATCGTAATAAAAGTAAAACATATTATAACGTAGTTTTGTATATTAGTCATAATATAAAATGCGGTGTCAAACTTGTAAATAAGTTTAAGATATATTATAACGTAGTTTTGTATATCCGTTATAGTAATAAATTTTTTGATGTATTATAACGAAGTTTTAAAAATCAGTTATAATATCTTTTCCTATCTGACTTTTCACGTTTCTCTCTCGCTATCTCTGATTTCACGTTCCCTCCTCTCTTCTTCTCTAAATCGCGCTCTTCCAACAACACTCCTCTCTCACCATCACTGAACCACATCTCGCGTTCACTCCTCACCGAACTACATCTTCTTCATTGCCTTTGAGCGTCGCCTCAAACACCAAACCTCATCTTGCTCTAGGTTTTCCTTATCTCTTATCTTTTTACCGATTGTTTTGCTTTTTTTCTTCATTTTTCACTGATTGAGATTGGTTTCTATCTATTTACACCGATTAAATCTTCGTTCCAACCTTTTCCACCGATTAAATCCCTTCCTACCTCGAACCCTAGAATCTCCTCCGAACAAACCTTCGAATCTAGGGTTTGCTTTTGATTTCACCGTCTTCCGCTGTGTCCTTGTTCGCCGAATCGATTTTACACCAGAATCATGGATTCACGACGATCCGCCTCGACTAGGAGTCATCACTCGTTTATCATTCTTTGGTGTAGTATTCTGTGTAGTCTTATTCATCATTCTCTGGAGTGGTGTGGTGAGAGAGAGTCTATGTGTTGGTGTGCTGGTAATAATGGCTGAAGAGGAGCTTGGTATACTCTGTTTATTGTGTGATTTGTATTTTTATTATTATTTATTTTCATTTGTCAAATGTATGCGCTATTGTTGTGCAGTAATGGAAAGCATGAGGTCGTGATTTCTTTTGTTCACTACCTCGTGGTTCTAGAAGGTGCTGATGGGGACAAAATGCCAGGTAAAAAGATTTTGGGGTTTTACTATTTTTTGTGATAGGCTTGGATTAATGATGTTGTTGAAGTTGCAACATTTATAAAGCATCAAATATATGTTGTTTCCCATTATTTTCTCCACAAGCCTTATTTTTTTGTGTGGATATACTAAAGGTTATAAGAATTTGTTCAGGCTAAGTTGTTTGCTGGTGGGGATGATGCTTGGAAAGAACGGGAAGATGTTGTCCTGGCCCTTGGTGCCATAGGTGAAGGTTGCATCAATGGTCTTTATCCTCATTTGTTGGAGGTAATTTTTAATTTTCTGGTTCTAATTACTCAATCCAGAAGCAACTGGTTTGATTGGAGGAAAAAATGTTGAGCTTGTTTTAAAAATTTGATTAATGTATGCTTGAATGATTATATAACTTAATGTATGCATGCTTGTGTCTTTGAATATGTCATTAATTGCATTTTAGAGTTAATAATGGCTACTTCCTCGAAATTTTGATTTGTTTTAGAACTTAGAGAGATATTTGTGAGGTGTGTAGCAGTGCTGTTATAATCTCATTATTATCATGTTCCAGTTCAGTAATGTCATACCCCTGCTCTGTTGTATTTCATGGTGTTAGGATATATTGCTTCTATGTGATATTGTGGACTCTAACTTTTGGAAAGAATAGAAAGTTCTTCATTTTAGGTTCTTGAAGGTCTTATAGTCCAAATATGCTCTATGGTCCAGAATCAAGGTTTAATCCCCCTAATCTGGTCACAGGAAACTTCACGTCTAAATCTTAAGCATGATATCATATGTATGCCTTACCATTTCCTGAATACTAGCACTTTCNTATACAAAATTGGTAGTTTTAATTATTAATTTAGTCTTGATTTCTTCTAGTTTTAATATTTGTTGTTTTTCAAGTGTCATTATATGTTAATCTTCTAGTTTTAATATTTGCTTCTTTTTTTTCAAGTTAAATCGATTCAATGCGATCTATTATATTAAATTAGCATTAATGTTATTTAGAATGTAATCATGTTTATGTTTAATAAGGTTTAATTATTAATTTGGTTTTTATGTTTTTTTTTAACTCTATTGAGTCTGATTAAATAGAGATTATGTGGTCCCTTTTGTGAAATCAGGATTAAAGATGATCACGGGTGAGTCTAAACTCTCTTCTTTCTTATCTCTTTTTCTTCAATCCTATTGAAATCACCTCTTTCAAATTCAAGATTGACTCCTTTAGATTCAATATCACATATCTAAGATCTTTGATTTTGTCTACTACATCGTCGAGATAGACACATGAAGTTAGTTGTGGCTTTTGGATTCATTCATTCATAATACCGGTTAAGAAGTAGACTTTAAGCCTAACTTGACCTCACAAAACTGGCTTTTAAGTTGAGGTTTGCACTCACTTATATATTATAAATTGACCTTATCTCTAGTCGATGTGAGACTTCCAACAAACCCTGTCACGCCAAGGTGTATACATATCGAGCGTGAAACTAGACATTAATGGTGGTCCGATAATGACCTGATAGTAGGTGAAACAACATGCCCAACAAACAACAAATATCGCTAGGATAGGCACTAACCATAGTTTTGATACCATGTTAAGAAGTGGACTATATAAGCCTAACTCAACCTCATAAAACCGGCTTTTAAGGTAAAGTTTACACACAATTGTATATTATAAATTGATTTTATCTCTAGTTGATATGAGATTTCCAACAATATCCATGGAGGATGCTAACCTAAAAGGGATCATATGTCTTCATGTAAAAAATACAAGACACAATTGAGTTAGAAAATTATATAAATACAAGTTTGAGGTAAGGAGACAAGTGATTACATTTACTACGCATTTAATATCCAAACTTTCAAACTCAAATTACTTTGGCATTCGAGCATAATGGAACGAGTGCATATATGCCCTCATTTAGCCTTTAATATTGGATTCTTAATTGATTTTTGTACTTTAACATAATATTTTAATTAGGATTTGTTATAATTGGGTTTATTTAGCATGAGATACAAAAACATGTTAAAAATAACTTTTTCAATTGCATAAATATTTTTCGGATATTTTGACTTGTGTTAGTGTAGCTGGAGCTAAGTTGAACTCATTGAGGTATGAAAATAAATTGGTTAAAGTTTCATGACACTCAACATCAGTTGGGTGATACAATGCTTAATTGTAGCATCTTTACATATCTGATAACCAAAAAAATACGTTTATTTACATTATTTCATCATGGAGCAAAGTTTAACCAAAAACTTAATAAAATAATGTCATTTGACAACATAATAATCCAAGGACATTGTAATTGTGTTTAGAAAAATGCCATGTGAATTTTACCTGGATGTAGATATAAACTCGAGGAATACTTCGGACATTCCTGTATGGTTTGATTGACATGATCTTTTAACATAAATCCGTGGTGAATCTCTCGGAAGTTTGGCAAATTTATGAGTCTTATAATTTTCAAGTTCTCTAATACTACTTGTTTTCCATCCTTATCCATTTCTTCTAAATCACCACCATCAGGTTCATGTTCAAAACCAAAAGCACTACAATATCGCAGAGGTTTTGAAGGCTTAGAAAACCTGTGGGACCTTTCCATATGAAATTGAGTTCAGGTATATTGGAAAGGGATAGAGACTTTATATCCAAGTTTAGTGGATGAAGTAATAAATCTTCCAATTGGTTGGATGTGTTGGTGATCGACCATAATATTTCATTCTCCTGTGTACACAACACAATTCACTGTTAATACTTTAAAGTTTATCACTCTACTCATCAGATTTTATTCATCAGTGGGTCTGAATACAACTCAAAACATAATTGATCAAATAGATAATAAATACTTGTTTATTGGAAGACATAAAAGATTATCCATGATTAATTTAATTTATAAATATATTTTCCAATTTCAAACATAATAAGAAAATAAATTATAATGTTGATCAGAAAATAAAAGTAAATGATAAAGAAAAACTACTACGATATGATTGTTATGCTTAATGCATTTAAACAATATCACTCGAGAAACTATACCGATTTATAATCACATATATTAATTTATGTTTAAAACTCACTATTTTAATCAAGTTAATGAAATAATAATAAGGCTTAATACCTCTTTTAGTCTCTCTTTATAAGGGAAATGTTCAAGTTCGTCCTACCTTTTTTAAAAAGTTCAATGTGGTCCCAACTTGTGAAAAAATTGTCCAATTAAATCCTTTTTGGTCACGGCGTTAAATATTTAACTATCCAGCTGACAACGTGGAGTGATCTGTGCAACGTGGCTGTTTAGCTTCATAACGTGGCAGTGACAGTGTTTTTCATTAAAGTTCACGTGGCAGTGATTAAAAAATTCTGAGTTAGGGTTTGGGTTGTAGAAATCGCGATTTGGGGATAAGCATTTTGGAGGAATTGGAAATCCGAATTGGGTATCACCCTGGTGGTATCACTTTCAAAATAAATAACACAGCTTGTGGCATCAACAACATGCAACTCAATTAGGAATAAAGGGCTTTCATTTGGATATTTCTGATAACAACAAGCTGCAACTCAATTAGGAAATTTCTGATAAACTCTAAAGGCTGATTCGTCGGAACCCTTCGTCCGTTCACCAATAGGCCAGGGCAGTATTCTGTTCTGCTGAATTTAATCTGGTCCGCGGTGAGGAAACCTAATTTGCGGGCTTTGTTTTCTTTAGGGGACGAAGGGAAAAATTGCAGAGTGGAATAGGGTTAGTGAAGTTTAAATAGGATTTTCGAGGCACAGAAGCACTAGAAGAAGGCAGTAATCAAAATTGATTTTGCTGGAATTGTGTTTTGGAGCTGTTGTGATGAGTTCGTGCTGAATTGGGCTATAATTCGTATAGCTCTGGTCTGACAGCATGGGTTACGATTCGGCTAGCCCCTCGCAGGATGGGAGGGACGAAGGTAAGTGTTTGCAATCAAAATTGGGGAATTGGCGGCACAAGGAAGCTAGGATTTGGGAATTAGGGTTGCCACGCAGTCAGAGAAAATGTACACGTCATTAACTTTTGTCTAGGGTGATAACTGCACCGTTAAAAATTTGACGCCGTAACCAAAAAGGATTAAATTGGACACTTTTTTCACAAGTTGGGACCACATTGAACTTTTTAAAAAAGGTAGGACGGACTTGAACATTTCCCTTATAAAGAGGGACCAAAAGAGGTATTAAGCCTAATAATAAATATATTACCGTTGGAGTTGTGTGTTGTTGGATATCTGAAGCATTCGTCACCTTGTGTATGGAAGAGTTGAACAATTTTGGACAATTCAAATAAAATAATACATTAGGACTTGGGAGATGTGCATGACAATTAGATTTGGTAAACAATAAAATGTTAATGTATCCAAATTAAACAAATTTATTCTCGTATTAATCTGCTGGAAACTTGGGTACCCTACAACATTATGTTCCTTTTCACTACCAAATACATACTTCAACGCTTGGTTGTCCTCAATATACACACTTTCCAAACTTAAAAGCCCTTCGACAAAAAACACAGAGAACATATACTCCAAAATCTCACATCCATGAATTGTAACAATCCTTAATTTAGGGAGCGCCAAAGAATAGTGACTTTGAGTGCTTGAAAGAGCATCATTCTCTTCTTCAATTATGTATCTCAATGATCCACAGGAAGATATTTTTAAATCCTCTAACAGCTCTAGAGTTTGGACAATGGATGACGTGAAGAGAGAAGCTAGCATTGGGCATTCTGATATTGAAAGGACTTTCAGATTGCATAGCTTTGAGTTTCTTGGAAAGGATATGCTATATAATTCACCACAATTTTTTATCTTGAGCTCTTGTAAATTTTGGAGAGAACATCGAGAGGAGGGATCACAAAACAGCTCTCGAAGGTTAGGTAAGTCTACCAAACTTAAGTAAACAAGGGTGGAGAACACAACTTCACTTTGAAGTAATCTGGTATTGATAGTGTTATCAATGAGACATTCTATCTCTTTACAGTCTCGGAGTTTCAAGGCTATCAACTTATTCATGCCTTGTGGATCCATGGATGGGATTATATTTTTATAATCTCCCTTAAGGTCCCTCAAATAAAGTAACTTTGCTCTTATAAACAGATCTTTGACTGGTAATGATATAAAACGTTGTGCAGCAACATGAAATCTATTTATTAATAAAGAAATGCATAGAAATGCATACTTCTATACTTCGAGTAGTTATCAATACGCAACAATCCTTGCTGCTTTCATCAAGCGGAATACCTAAGGCTTCAAAGTTTAGTTTTTCCCATACATCATCCACGATTACAAGAGTTGTACCTTTCCTTAATCTTTCTGATAGTCTCTGTGCTCTTCCTATATCTGATTCTTCTCTAAACTTGAAGCCCAATTGATCAACAATCCAATCTTAGATAGTTATGATATTTAGAGATTGAGACATTGTTGCCAAGACAACCTTCTTAAAGAGTTTCATCTCTTCAACTTTTTTACCCACTTCTTTTGCCAAAGTAGTTTTCCCTGAGCCTCCTAATCCAACTAATCCAATTAGGAAAGCACTTTTATTCTTTAATTCTTGTAGAAGCTTATTGTAAGATTCTTTTGTAGAGTTGAACATAAAGAAATCGTTGGAAGAATAGTACTTCATGCCTGGAAGTTCAGTAATCCTTGAAAACGGTTCAAATTTGCTATTACGATGGAGCTTAATCATTTCAGTTGTTTTTCTTTCTATTTTTTTTGCAAGAGAATATTGACATTGCCTTTTGAAATAGCTTTTATTCACATGCAA